CGACTCTCATTTCTCCAGACCTTTGCTCCAGCTGTGTTCCAGCTTCCTTCAGGTGGAGCCAGACCAGCTCTGACTGTCCTCAGGTTTCACTGCTCTGTTTAAATTGCTCTGCGATTTATAGGGTGTGCTGGTATTATGCCTCCACCCCATGCAGAAGGTATTGCCCTTTTCTAGCTCTGTACCCTATAAACACCCTTGCCCTCATGTCACCTGGCAGGCTTTGAGGAGTTTCCCCAAGAAGAGCTGGGTCTTCAACTTTCTCCCCTCATGGGGTAGATTTGTTAGTGTCTCATCACAGAAAAAGAATTTCAGGACACGTCAGTGGGAGGCGTGGGCAGATTCATTAAGGCAGTTAAAGAAGTACGCACTCGGGAGTATTCCCCCTCCCTGTGCTCCCTGCCCATCGAGTAGCTGTCTGTTGTGTCTCTCTTCTCCGTTTTCACCGGCTTCTCCTAGTTTAAACTCGGCTTCTTTAATTCTTTACTGACACTGGGTTTATACTTGCTGGGAGCTGTGTTTTCTAGCAGAGCAACATCTTACAGCACATGGAGAAAGATGGGAATGAGAAAAGAAGAGCCAGTGCAGCTAAGCAGAGTGGATATGGGGAAACTCAGGCTTTGAGGAAATAAGAGAAGCCAACAGCAGGAAACAGACACCCTACAAGTGCCAAGACTGCACCTCCTCAAGGGACATCAGAGGAGACTTCCAGAAGCCATGGTGGACCCTCTCGAGAGGAAAGATTGGCCATGCACAAGTGCTCATCCCAGAGCAGACAGGCAGACCAGTTATTAGCTGCAGGAAAATACAAAGAGGCTCTTTCTTGTCACAAAAAGGCTGCAGCGTATCTTTGTGAAGCCATGAAGCTGACACAGCCTGAGCATGCTCCTTGTCCTCGAAATCGCAGAGGAACAGCCACATGGAACAGCTCCTCCTCATCCAGGAGCAGTGGAAGAGGGCAAAGTGTGAGGAGCAACCGAAGGCCCAGCCGAACACGGAGAGGACACAACTTCCCATCGCCAGGCATCTCACAAACCCTCTGTGGAGGACGCAGAGGCCAGAACCTGCTTCTTTCTCAAAAGCATGGACTGTCCCCAGAGCAATGCCTCCCTGAAATTCAGGGGGTTTTGACATAGGTCCAAGCACACTGTTATATTTAATTCAGCCAAAGAGTGAGCCAACAGAGGCTGCATTGGAAACAAAGCCCCAAAACAATCATAGAAGAGCAAGTAACCAAAACTGAAGATTTGCAGAGACATGTGGAGTTCCTTGTGGCTGAGAAAGAAAGATTAAGGAAAAGAAAATAAATGACTAAAGGCTGAAAATGCCAGACTTCTAAAAAGTTCCATAGAAAAGGAGCTGGATATGGGTGCTGACTTTGCAGAAAATCATAGTTGTGGCACTTACCACCACATTCAGAAAATGCTGTAGGGCCAGGGCACGAGCACATGCCTGGCAAGTGCAAGGCCCTGAATTCAATTTTTTGGTACAAAAACATAAAAATAAAAAATGCTGCAGCCTCTTTAACCTGGCAGAAATTTTCAGTAAAGACCAGGAAAGCCAAGGACATTCCATTACCCAACCTTCCTCCCATGGATTTTGCATCTCCAGAACCTATACTTACAAAGCTCTCCGAGGACATTCTGAAAGGATTTATGAGTAATTAAATGGAAGATCTGTAGAGCGGTTGGAAGAGGAAATGATTCAGTAACATGGTTAATCCAGAAAAGAAAAAAGGGAAAACCACGTGCAAGGGCAGCCCCAGAACTGTCATCGTCTGGCTTCTGTGAGAGAGAGGTACGGCTGGACGTGAGCAGTCACCGTGGAGCGCACCATCGACCCAGTTTCTCTGGCACAGCTAATGAGTCCCACAGGGCACACTGTACTCAGAGGTTGACTTTCTCTTCATGCAAACCAAATGGCTACCTGGCACGATGTTTTCAAACCACAAGGACTGTTTGGATGTTCAGGGCTTAATCATAGAAAAATATGTTATGTGTAATTAATCTATAATGCCATAAATGATCATGCAAAACTTAAATAACAGTAACCTGAGGGCCTGCCTTATATGTGAAATACACTCTTTATCATGCATTTTGTTACACACACTTTGTTTAAAGAAGATGCACACCTATGAAACTACATGTGCCACACTCGCACTATTTACAATACTATCAGGAGAAATATTTATATTTCCATGTTATGAAGAAAGGAGCCAAACTAAGCTGTTTAAAACTTTTCCAGTTTACATAATTAATCGGGGTATATTTTAAATTGTTTGTTATATCAGCATCATTTGAAAATACCAAGGAAATAGCCTTGTTTCTAACGATACATGAGTAGAAGTAATGTTAACTGGCAGTATTTATTATAAGAAATCAATAAAGTAATTGAGTTTTAAAAAAAAAAAAAAATGGGACCAGAGATTTAGCTCAGCAGCATAAGCGCCTGCCTAGCAAATGTGAGGTTGTGAGTTTGATCCCCATTACAAAAAAAAAGAGGAAATATACAATCAGAGAAAAGAGAAAGTGGATAACTCAAGCAAGAGGAGCACTATGCTCTGAGTTTGGGAAGACAATGAGTCCCTGACTTACAAATGAGTTCTGTTCTGGGTAAAGATTCAAACATCAGACTCATCCTAACTCTGACAAAGTGAGCCTCACACGTCTTTGACACCGACATACCATGTACACTGCTTTGTGCTTCCCAGCAGTCCCTCTGCTCCCCACTGCTTTCCTTTGGCTTCCGGGCACCCTGGATGCTGACTGGGCACTGCACAACTGTGCACCATCACATGAACAGGAAGCATGCAGCAGCACAACTGTGACAGATAGTAGCTGGCAGACATGTCACTACTCTCATGATTTGGTCACATCTACAAATGCAAGGCCTGTTCATATCTGTGAAAATTTGCAAATTGAATGTCCATAAAGTGGAGACTTACTGTAAATAAACGTTCTTGGCAGTATCCTTTAAAATTGATCTATGAACCCTTTGGACCTGTTTCTTCATTTTAAGGTCAGGTTGGTGCCCTTTACCTTATCAACTAGGTTATTCTATAAACTTCTAGGGAGTTTTTTTATTTGATTGGACCCAGGGCCTTTGTATTGAACTACATTCCCCGCTGCTCTGCTGCCATTGTAAATTTTGAGACAGGGTCTTCCTAAGTTGCCCAGCTGGGTTTGAACTCCTGCCTCTGCTTCCCGGAATGCCTGGATTACAAGCATACACATCTATGCCTGGCTCATGAGTTTATAGTATTGTAAGGCATTTGGGTGTGATGATCCTGGAATAAACAACAAACCAACCTAGGGAGACGTACAGGTAGGGAGGAGCAATATGGAGCAGAGATGAGTAACTTTGGGTAACTTTGTGTCCTGAAGTTGCAATTTTTAAAAGTACAATTACAATTTTCCTTTTCCTCCTTTCAACCTATCTTTATTTGTTCTATTCTAGCTCGATCTTTCATACTAAATTGTTCCGTCATCATGGTTCATCTTTGCTCCCACCACCTCTGTGGTCCTGGAGGATAAGAACATGACTGCCCCCCTGAGGGCCCCGGCACCTAGCACAGGGCCTGCACTGGGCAGATCCTTGGTAAAGGTTGGATGAATGAATGGGTGAATGAGTGGCTGGATGGGAGAGAGAAGCAGAGAGGAAATGGTCATTAGTGCCAGTGTTTTGGAAGGTTCATTCTAATGTGATCTTGTTCATTTCTCAAAGAAAGCCCTGACTTTAGCAGTTCTCTTCCAAAACAGAATTCTACTTAGCAAATGTTACCCAGCTGATACCTTTTTAAAATACTTTGGCATGGGGATAGTTGATGTGCTTGTAAAGTGCTTTTCCAAATGAGGCTGTCAGGAAGCATAGCAACTTGGCCTAAAAGGCCCTCTCTGCCATGTGGACCTGGCTGCTGGGCTGCCTGGCTTCTGGTATTCTGATCCTGGCCCAGAGGAATTCACTTTCCAGCTTTGAGCAAGACAGCCTGAGCCCTGGGAAGTTGGAGAGTTAGGAACAGGAAGCCCAGCAACCTGGGCTTTTCATGTGACCAAATGCCTGTGCCCAGGAATAAACTGAGGCACCTCCCTTGCACCAGTCTCCCAGGCATTATCTGGCAAGCTGAGGGAGCTAGGCACAACCAGATTGAATGAGCCTGTCTGTGGCTTTGCATAAGGTTTTCGAATGTATTTCCTCTCTAAAACTGTCTCAGCCTGATTGGAAGTGTCTGGATGCTATATTAGGCAGAATTTTCAGACCTCAATTTGGCATTGCAGAAAAAGATATCATGATTAATTAGTAATATCTGCCACAGAGAAAGAAAGAGGAGTAATAACTATGTACCACAAAGCTGCCACCTCAGGTCTTGCAACTGACTAAGCTCACGCTTTGGAGTCTGAATGACTGAGGGCTGAACTTCACTCTGTTCTCCTGGCCATCAGTTTGCATAGCCCTGAGTCAGATTTGTATAATTCAGGGTTTGGCTTCAGTGCTGTAACAAAGATACCTCAAAGTACTTTGGCTTAACATAAGTTCGAAGGTTCTTCTGTCGCTTGGTGTTGAAGAAAACAGAGATAGATGAGCTGCTCTGTGCTGGTAGGTGGTGGGAAGCTGTTCTGCCATCCTCACGTGTCACTTGTGGGTCTAAAGTGGCTGCTCTCATTCTTGCCATTTCTCAGCCAGAAGGAAAGGGAAAGGGACCAGGGGAGCATGTTCCCAGTGGCTTCAGAGGCACCCCAGAAGCTGCCATCACTGCTTATTTTTGGTTGAAGCAGAATAGTCACTTGGCTATCCCCATGTGTGACTTGCTGGGAAGTCGAGTTTTTTTAGTTGGGAAGTCCTGTGCCCGCCTGGCATTCGGATGGGCAGAGAAGGAGGAAATAAGAATCGGGATGAGATGCTCAGGGCACTGCTGGGTATGTGTTGGGGTCAGTAAGCCTGGTAACAGCAGGTAGGCACTGACAGGACTTCCCCGAGCTCACAGGGGCCTCCTTCTCCTTCCCCAGGAGCTGGTGCAGATCCTATACAAGGCACTGGAGGCTGCCCAGCAGGAGAAGAGGGCATCCAGCGCATATCTGGCTGCAGCTGAGGACAAGGACCGTCTGGAGCTGGTGCGGCACCAGGTGCGGCAGATCGCAGAGCTGGGCCGGAGAGTGGAGGCCCTGGAGCAGGAGCGAGAGAGCTTAACACACTCAGTCAGCCTGCGTGAGCAGGAGGTGAAGGAGCTGCAGCAACACGTGCAGCTGCTCATGGACAAAAACCAAGCCAAGCAGCAGGTCATCTGCAGGCTGTCTGAGAAGGTCACCCAGGACTTCACGCAGCCCCTCTGTGAGCCCCACTTGCGTCCCAGCTCTGCCGACAGGGACCTTCTCAGTCAGCAGGAGAGGATGGAGCATCTGAAGGTAAGGCCTCCCACCCCTGGGATGCTGTCTTGATGCCAGTGGCTTTCTAGATGGAGCACGAGCCTCCCTGTCTGAGCAGTCATAGTGGAAAGAGGAATATTTGGAAAAATTGCTCTTTGCTCCCTGTCTTCACCATTGTATCCTGGGCTGCTGAAAAGTATACGTGTCTCAGAAGAAGGGATTTAACTCAGCGGCATAAGCACCTGCCTGGCAAGTGCAAGGTCATGAGTTTGATCCCTGGCGCGCACATACACACACACACACACACACACACACACACACACACACATAAAAGCTGGGCATGGTGGTGCATTCCTGCAGTCCTAGCACTCAGGAGTCTGAGGCAGGAGGATCATTGCAAGTTCAAGACCAGCCTGGGTTACTTCATCCTCGTACAAGCCCTAGGAAGCAGTCACTTATAAACTGCCCACTTTGCAGAAGTAACTATTGAGGCTGAGCAAAGTAAAGAAGCTGGCCTGGCCTGTATGGAGCTGGGGGTGCTAGAAGTGGGCTAGAACTCATATCTGCTGATCCGTCTGTCTCTTCTCCTGCCTCGCAGCTGCTCTGCCTGTTTTGGGGTAGCTCTTGCCCTGCCCTGCCTCACCCTGTCTTCTCTCTCCCCAGGCTGCTCCACTCCTCAGGGACCCACTGAGGCACAGGGAGCAGAAACTTTAGTTGAGGTGTGATGCCTGCTGTGGCCTGCAGCCTCTCTCTGGAAGGCTATAATGAGAACACCAGCCGCAGGGAGGTCGTAATTCCCACTGTTGCTAAAGGCAGCTATGTAGAACCAGGGCTGGTCTTGCCCAAATGGTGCCACTCACAGTCACACATAGATGTACTAAGTAAGAGCTTAGAGACTCCTGTGCTCCTGATGTTGGGGCTGGGCCAGGTTTTCAAGGTGGAGGAGGGCAAAAAAGAAAACAATTCGGGAAACTTGTGAAAGAGGCAGGGGATGTGGAACCGCAGCCGGGCCCTTGTGGGAGGCCTCCCAACAGAGCCTGCCTGCTACTAGCCTCCTGGCCTTGGGCGAGTTCTCTCACCTCTCTGTCAAGTAGCCTAACCAGTCCTGCTTGATACAGTTTTTCAATAAAGAGAATAAAGGAAGAAAACCTGAAACCCAGATTCTCTTTCCTATTACAAAAACTGAAAAATGATACAAAACAAACTAGGCCTAGAATTGCTTAATAGTCTAAATCAGAGTCTTGCAGTTTAGAACAGAACTCAAGCTTTCACACACAGATGCAGGTGGAGGGCTGGGAAGCTGCCGTCCTGCAGTGCTGTGGGCCGCTTCCTCCCGCCCTGCCCTCGCCCGCCCGCCCATCCTCAGTAGAAGCGCCCAGAGGCCAGTGAATAGTGAGCAGAGGAGGCTGCCTGAGAGCTGCTCGTCACCATGGACTTAGCCAGGAGCCTGCATGGGTCCTAAGTTCACATCTTGGGGTTTTATCTCAGCAGTGAGCCCAGCGGGAAGGCTGTGCAGGTGCGATTCACATTGACGTGATTCTTACATTTTAGATCATCGTCCAGTGTCTTGTGCTTTCAAGAGTTGCATGTAGCAGGTACTTCTTAAAATTTAGTTTTTAGAAGATCCATCAAATAAACACCCATCATCCTTAAGACAGGCCGAAGAGAGGTTGCATGTTTCCTGCCTGCCCTGTTTTTGAGACTCTCCTGTTACGGCCATACCACCCTGCGTGCATCTGACTGCCTCTGCTCATGGAAGCTAAGCAGGTCAGGCCTGGCTAATCCTTGGATGAGACACTATCATTTTCAAAACAGAATCATTGAGATTCTGTCTCAATGTATTAGAGCCAGGGAGACTCCGAAGCCTAGTGTTCCTCTTCTGTGCTCGTGCTGGGTGACTGGTCCAGAGTCACACAGCCTGAGACAGCGAGCAGAATCCTAGGTCTCTGCACACAAGCACCAGCCCTGGCACGTCAGCACTTCCTAAGGGGGGGTCCCTGGTCCTACAGAGGCGGCAGTGCAGCTCCCTGCTTCCGAGCCCTTTCTTCACCCTTGGTCTTCTTTCCTGTGCTGTCACTGTCGCGTGGCTTTTCTCTGCTCTGTGGCTTGTTTTTCCTCCCCACAGCTCTGAGCCAGGGAGAGCACTCAAGGCAGGACAACAAGCTGAGTGGGAGGGTGCTGCTCAGTTCTTCCCTCTCTCCACTGCTGCTCCAAGGGTGCTCACACCACCCTCTGTCTGGACACTCATGCCTCTTCTAGAACTGGAAGCAGGGTACTTCCTATGACAGAAGCCTTGGAAATACCCAGGAGCGACTTAGGAGTCTGATGGAATGGGAACACTTCTAGGCTAGGCTGGGATGGTAATAAAGAGGCAGGAGCCTGTGTGTTATGGAGCAGTGGGCAGTGTTTGCTGGCACTCGCTGAGCTGACCAACCTGGGTTCGGGGTCCTGGCTCTACCACCACCCTGCGCCAGCTGCAGGATGGAGGACCTTCCCTCCTCAGAGCTTGTTCCCTCACCCGTAAAATGGGAGTGATAGCACTTTAATACTGATCTGAAGGGGCTGGGATCAGACCCAGGGCCTGGGCCTGGCACAGAGTAGGTACCCAGGGAGTGGACGATCCTCTTCTCCCTGGCTGCCCTGGCACTCACTGGTTGTCCTGGGCATTTGGCAAGGATCCGTATCATTAGCAGTGGGAGAGTTCTGCAAACAAGGGGGAGCAGGTGGGCCCCAGGAGCCCTCTTCATTGTCCTCACCCTATCCTGGGTACACATATGAGCTCACTAGTCCTCCCAGGAGACCCTTGAAGTGGGCCTGCAGTTCCCTCAGATAAAGGGAAAACTAAGTAATGTGCCCAGGGGCTCAGTGGTGGGGTGGGCCATGCAGGAAGTGTGGCCCCACCATCTTTGTCCCTAACCTGTACCAGCAGTGGTGCTGGCTCGCAGCCAGTGCCGGTCTTTAAAGCCCTGTTATTATACTGCCTGCCAGGTCAACCTGCCTACACGAGCTGGGAGACTGAGGAGGACTTCACTGGACGGTGGATTCTAGAGTTTGGTGGCCTCCAGGTGGGAGAGCTCAGAGAGTGACCAGGCAGGAAGTGCAGTAGTCAGGGTACAGTTGTTGAACCCACAGACCTGGCCCTGGTCACCCTCTGCTGTGTCCTGGCCATAAGGCAAGTTCCTTTCCCTTTAAGGTCCCTGAGGCATCCTCTATGTTCCCAGGGATGACAAACATTTCTTCTAGGAGTGCTGGGAGGTTCAGTGTGTCGATTGGCAAAGGGGGCCATACAAGGAGACAAACTGAAAAGTCAGACTCCCAGAAGTGGGGCGTGTCCTGGGAAGTCCTGCCATTTCCAGGACGTCAGTCCCTGTGCCGTAAGCACAGGCTCCTCAGCTCCCTGCCACATAAGGATTAGAAAGTAGGAGTCAAAGTGGAAGGAGACAGCTTTGCCCAGAGAAGCAGCTGCACTCACCAGCAACATTTCTGAGAGACACAGAGCCTGGATTCTCAGTCAGGTCATCCAGGCTAGGAACATGGCTAGAGAGGGGAACAGGGCCAGGGAGGGGGTGACAGGCTCCAGGCCAGGAGAGAGCAGAGGGTGCGCACAGCAAGGGTATTGAGAACGGGGTAGCCAGGTGAGAGACACCATGGGGAGCCCGTCAGAGTTGTGAGGACACGTGAGGGTTGAGTCATCCGGTTGAGTCATTTGGGCAAAGTGCATCAGTCTCAGGTATGAATTGGAGCCACTGGGAGGTCCTTGAAGGTTATCTTGGACAGAATGCAGACCACCCAAAGAGGGTAAAACCACTGGGGGCCAGGCACATATGGCTGCCTCGGATGAAGTGTCATAGGCTGTGAGCAGTACTTTCTTTGTCCAGGCATGCAAGGCTGTCCCAGCTCAGCACCTCGTACACTCGGGATTGGGTACCAGTAGAAAACAGCCTGCATCCTGTTTGAAAGACTTCTGGGATGTGATGGTGAGCCATGGCCATAGCTGAAGTCCTCATGTGACCCCTTCCAAGGCTTGCCAAGCCTCTTAAGTGCTCCAGCAGCAGGTTCCACCCACTTCCATGGACAGTACACACACAGAGAGCTGTGGGCTCAGAGCCCAAGACCAACTGAAACACCAAGGCTCACATTTTAAAAGCAGAAAGGATTTAAGTAAGTTATAAATTCACCCAGTAGAAGAGTCATTAGTCATTAATCATTGGAGCTGAGCACAGTGGCACGTTCCTGAAATCTCAGCTGCTTGAGAGGCAGATGCAAGAAGACTATAAGTCCAAGGCCAGCCTGGACAACTTAGCAAGACCTGGTATCTTAGAAAAAAAGGTGGTTGGATATGTAGTTCGTAGCATGCTTAGCATGCTCAAGGGCCTGGTTTAATCCCCAGCACCAGAATAAATGATCATTGGGAAACTTATTTAGCAATACAGAACAGTATTTGCAAAGTAACACCTTAACAAAAAATTTCTACATCATGACTTCAGGTATCTGATTAAATGTGTTGCTTTAAGGAGACACTACTGGAGCACCTTTTGTGACTGGTTTTGTACGTGTGTTAGGCCTCCTCATCTACTGTCCTGGCTGCCTAGTGGGTAGTTGGCACTTGCCCCTTTTACAGATAAGGAGACAGAGAGTCAGAGTAGTTTAGGACCTGCCTGAAGCTGCTGGGTGAGAATGTTAGAGCCAGGATCTGAACTCCAGACCTAGCACTCTCTACCAGGTATGGTGGATCACTAATAGAGGAGGCTATGGGTGATATATTTTGTTTCAGATTTCATTTTTGTGTTTTTGTTTTGAGACAAGGTCTCTGTGTAGTTCACATTGTCCTTGAACTCACTATGTAAGTTAGATTGGCCTCGAACTCACAGCGATCCTCCAGCCTCAGCCTCCCACGTGTGGGGTTTACAGAAGTGTCTCCATTCCTGGCTCTAGACTTCCCTTTCTATGTCATTATTGGGAATTTCTCAGGAAAGGAAGCTCTGATAGCTCATTAAGGGTGTGACGATGTCTGTGGTGCAGCTCCTGACATTTTGCTCTCTTCTTCAGGATGACATGGAAGCCTACCGGACCCAGAACCGCTTCCTCAACTCGGAGATCTACCAGGTTACCAAGATCTGGAGGAAGGTGGCCGAGAAGGAGAAGGCCCTGCTGATGAAGGTGCTAGTGGGAGCTGGTGACCGTGTCCAGGCCCACCCCTCACAGTCCCATGACACCACCAGCCCACTCTCCTTACCCCACTGCCCTCCCACCAGGTCCCTCATGAGCAGGGTTATGGCAGCTTCCCCAGCCCCTGTTGACAGCCAGCTGTGGGGAAGGGACATCAAGGCCAATAAGCTCAATTGCTGCCCTTGGGAGTACACAGCTGGCAGCCAGTCCATGAGGAGGTGGGGCTTGGGCCCAGAGGTGTGGCTGTGCTGTAAGCAGTCACAATCTCCAGAGACAGAAACAAAGATGCTACATGAGCAGTTAGATGACTTGCCCAGGCCAGGAGAGGAGGGTAGTGTCCAGGGTGTCCCAAGCCAGGGAAGAGGGTGCAGAAAAGCCAGAGATGGAAGGACTAGGGTGTCCTGAAGAACTGGAAGTGCCCATGTGACTAATCATCACCAGAGTCTAGGGGCTGATTCTGTTTCCCCTATTTTACAAATGCACAAGTTAAGGCACAGAAACAAGTAACTTGGCATAGGCTACACAGCTAGCAAGAATGAACCAGGGTGGGAACTGTAGATGGTGTGGAGCCTGTGCTCCCTCCTCCCCACCCCTTCTCAACTTTTTTTTTTTTTTTGGTGGTACCGGGGATCGAACTCATGACTTCATGCTTGCCAGGCAGACACTTATGCCACTGAGCTAAGTCCCCAGCCCCCTTTTCAACTTTTGAACTCCTCTGCTTGCTTGCTGTGAGCCACTGGATCTTGGGCCACTCTCCTTTCCCCTGAGTGCAGAGCTGGGAGGGGCAAGAGAAGAGCGCTACAGAGCTGTGCTGCCTCCAGGCCTCAGGCCTTGGTAGCCTGACCCAACAGGTGGCCTGAGCAGTCTGCCCTGCCCCTCACAGTGTGCCTACCTGCAAGCCAGGAACTGCCAAGTGGAAAGCAAGTACCTGGCTGGGCTGCGGAGGCTGCAGGAGGCCAAGGCCAGCGAGTGCTCCGAGCTGCTGCAGCAGTTCATCCAGGAGGCGCTGCAATGGGAAGCGGGCGCGGCCTCGGCGGACAGTGTGGAGCTGAGCCCCATCAGGTGAGCCTGGCTGCATCGCCCAGGACCCCGCTGCCCTTCCTGCTGACTGTGCCCGGGCTCCTGACAAGTGAGCATGGGGACCACTGAAGACAGAGACTCGGAGGAGGCAGCACTCTGCCCAAGGCCACAAAGTCCCTCATGCAGCTCACCGGGCTACCCCCAGATGTCCTTGTCACAGACCGGAGGAGAGGAGGCAAATCACTGTCAACTTCTCAAGCCTCACTGCTCTGAGCACAGTGAACCCAAGGAGTTACATACAAGAGAACAGGGATGGCTGTGCCCAGAGGTCCTGGAAACTAGGCGGCGCACTAGCAGGAGCCTGGGCCTCGAGGGCAGACCTGGCTCTCCTTTGTGACTCTGGATGAGTCATTTTAGCTTTCTGAGCCTGCTACTCAGCCTCTGTAAGACACAGGCTGAGACCCCTGCTTTGCAGGGTCCCTAAGGTTGACTGAGATAGCTCAGATGGGCACACGGTAGGGCAAACAAGACGCTGAATATGTGAAAGGCCATTTGTAGTGGGTCCCAGCTTTCCCACCTCTGCCTGTCACTGGCAGCCATCCTAGAGCCTGGTGCAGCAACTCTGCAGGGTTCCCCAGAACAAAGCGGCAGGGGTACCAGAGGAACCTGTGTTGCCAGGGATGAGCAAGTGTTTCCTGGGCCTGTGCAACTGGCACTTCCAGACTCATCACAGTTACAGCAGAGGCTCTTATTAGGTCTTCAGAAGGCAGAGCAGATTTCCTCTACCCCACTGTACAGATGAGAAAGCTGAGGCAAGGAGACCAAAGTTCTCCTGCCCCGAGCTACCTAACCCGGTACTCCCCAGCTGCCCCTAAACCAGGGAAGGGCCCTTCCCACAGTGTGACTAACATGGACTTTTGCTGGCAGTGAGTACGACGAGTATGGCTTCCTGACGGTACCTGACTACGAGATGGAAGACCTGAAGTTGCTGGCCAAGATTCAAGCACTGGAGGTGCGTTCCCACCACCTGCTGGAGCTTGAGGCTGTGGAGCGGCCACTGCAGCAGCGCTGGGCTGCCCTGGCTGAGCTGTCACCCTCCACTGAGCTAAAGCAGCTGCTGCGGGCAGGAGTGCCCCGTGAACACCGGCCACGTGTCTGGAGGTGGCTGATCCACCGCCGCGTCCAGCACCTGCACACCCCGGGCCACTACCAGGAGCTGCTGAGCCATGGTCAGGCTTGTGAGCACCCTGCCGCCCGCCAGATCGAGCTGGACCTGAATCGGACTTTCCCCAACAATAAGCATTTCATGTGTCCCACCTCCAGCTTTCCCGACAAGCTGCGTCGGGTACTACTGGCCTTCTCCTGGCAGAATCCCACCATTGGGTACTGCCAGGGTCTGAACAGGTGAGCCACTGGGTCACAGGGAGAACCGGGCCTTTGCCTATGAGTGCTACCAGAGCTCTTTGGGGCATCCCACAACCCTGGAAGCGTGAGCCCAGGAAAGAAGGACAGAGCGCAGGCCTTTGTCCCGGGTACTCCACTTTAAGCTTGAGAGCTGCCAGTCACACAGAACCAGGGGCAGTGAGTGTGGCCCAGTTTGCATGCACAGGACTGACTGGATCAAGGATCATCAGCACCAAGGGAGCCCAAAGGGAGAGGAAATTATAAGTGCTACAGCGGGCTCAAGGAAGCCAGGGAAAGCAAAGGGGGGTGAAGGTCAGCCTGTGCAGCAAGGCCACAGCCCGACACAGCCCCAGGTCTGTCTCTGGGTTCTTCAGGGAGCGCCGCCCTGAGGCTCACGGCACGCAGTCGCACGCTGCAGTGGCCTGGCCCCCGGCCTGCCCTCACAGTGCACATCAGTCCCTCTTCTCGGTACACGAGGTTCTGCCCACTCACTCTTTTGGCACGTGGTTGTTTGAGGCTGTCAGTGGACCTCTCCGCCCTGCAGTCACAGGTCTTTGGTTTGTCCTCCCATCCTACCTCTCACACCGAAGCCCTCTGTCCAGTTCCAAAGAAGGGGTCTGAATGGCCCAGTCTGAATTACTTCCCATTTCTGGTCCTGTCAGCAGGGAGGGATAAAGTGAGGTTAAGTTTAGAGGGGCTCATAGGGCTGCCCCCTCTAAACCAGGGAGGGTATTCTGGATACCCAGGTACTGCCACAGAAATTACACAGAGTATTTCCTTTCCTGAGCACCCCAGTTTATAGAAATGGCATAGTTTGAGTACTTCCCAAAGCAAGTTTTGATTCTATTTGTTTAAAAACACATGCACCTGAGCAAAATTTATGTAACTAGTTCTGTTCCTTTTTCAGAATAGGTAATGTGTGACATTTATTTAACAGAGTCAACATTCAGTGTCCTATTCAAATTTGAGTGGTTTCCAAGAGTAGATATTTTCATTATTCTTATTTCCAACCTAAATGTGGGTGAAATTGAGCGTGTATATGTACAATTACTGAGAAAATTCACAGTTAAACTCCAGCAATGATGCCTCTCCATCCAGACCCCTTGGAGAAACAGGATTTCATGCCACTCTAAATATTGGCTACAGGTAATATCTGTAGACAATTCATTCATTACCAGCTGAATGTGTGCTTCTGTCTGAATATGTTAAAATCTGGAAGAGACAAAGCTTGCAAAGCCTTTTTAAGAAAGCCGTGAAGGAGCTAGAAGCTGAGATTAGTGTGAATAACAACTTTTACATTTTGTGCAAAGGTCAGGTAGGAGTAACACGACTTGAGGGTGCTTTAAGCAGCAGCTACCGTTTAACCCTCCTGCGAGACCCGTACCATGGGCCTGGTGCCCAGTGAACAAATGAGGCCACGTGTGAGAGCCTGAGCGACCAGCTCCACACCTCACCCCACCCAGCAGCCAGACCCCCGTCCCCAGCCCCCTTCCAGCCCACCCTCCCTTTAAGTGGCACTGCAGCTGAGGGGTGCCCAGAGTACCCCGAAACCCTGTCTCCTGATCCAGCATGATCTCTCAGGGATGGGAGCAGCCATCTATGGGTGCAGTGTGTGCTGAAGGGCAAGAGAAACCCCCGTGGCAGGAAGGGCCTTGAGATCAGCCTTAGGGTTCCCCCTGTGTTGGAAGAGACAGCGCTGCAGCAGAAGGCCATGGGAACCACAAGCAGGAGAGTGGGGAGACCAGGGAGCATCTTCAGTCTCTCTCTGTGTACTGTGCTTACTTAAATTTTATATGTCAGCACAGACACTTGGTATTCTTGCAAATATTGATAGTATTGCTTTAAATAGGAAGTTGTGTGTTATAGAAGCCTTTTGAATGTGGAAATGCAGTGTATTCTTCTTGAGGCCCTTAGGACCAAGCTGCAGGGCCTCACACTTGTCTCAGCTGCCATCTAGTGATGGCTACTGGAACTGCACGTGTGTTCCGAGATAACTGAGCCTGCTTCTAAGCAACAAATCGGGCAGGTAACACAGTAATGGTCTGATGCCAATGTAGAGCAAACTTGGTAAAGCCATTTCCCTATGAGAGTAAGTGGAAGCCTTTAAAAATAGTCTGTTCTCCCCACAGACACACACTCTCCTGTGCAGGCCCCTGGGGCCTTGAATGGCTGGAGTCCAGCTGCAGCCCTGGTGGGAACAAGCCTCCGGTAACTGACCTTTTAGGGTGTGGAGAAGTCCCAGCGGTGCTGGCAGCTGACTCCTGGGTGTAGAGTGGAGAGAGCAGCAGGCTGGACTTTGAGAGTCCTGAGTTTTGCTCCCACTGCCATCAACTGACTGTGATTCTGAACCAGTCACTGTTGTCTTCTGGGGCTCAGTTTCCCCGTCAGGTTTATCTTGACCAGAGAAGACCAGTAGGAAGCAGGTGCTCAAAGCCTATCTTGAGGAAATTTTTGAGGGAGCCTCTAGACTTAGGAGGAAAGAGTACCATGATCAATTAGTTAGATCTTCCCCAGGCAGGAATAAAGGGCATGTGGCCACGAAGTATCAGTTATCTTTCCCAGGCATGGACAGAGAGAGTGGTGGCCCATGTACACATATTTACTGTCCTTCAACTCAGGGACCCCTGAAGGCCACTCCTCCCAGCCTCCACTCTGCCAGGACACCCGCGGCCTTCCTCCTCCTCTTCCACTTAGCTCAGACTCAGGAAGATTTGGGCAGATATTTGAGCCAGAGTTGAAATCCCTTCCCAAACTATTGGGGAAGAAGAAAGGATTTCATTTTTAAGATTCGGCCCTGCTTTTAAATGTCATGAACCTCAGAAGAAAGTAGAGGTCCTGAGTCCAGGATAATGAGAACGAAGAGAAGCTATCTGACAATGAAATGTGCTCCTTAAGTGCCCTGTGAGTTTATAGAGCGCCTACAGAAGCTCTGAGGGTCACTGCACTCTCCTGACCTCCTTTGGGGTAACATTTGGGAGCGCGCTCCCATGCCTGCAGGATTTCCTCAGGGTGTTCTCAGATACTATGCACCATCATGAGCCTTGGGCTGGAATCAGAATTCAGGGGTCCACGGAAGATATTCTGAGAAGTGTGTTCTTAAATTGGCCCAGATGCACCCCAAGGCAAGATAGGCAAAGTGGAGAAAATATTACTTCCTGGGAACTTTTTCCGGCTCTGCCCTGAAAGTTCTTTCTTATCCACAGTCTCATTCAAGCCTCATGATAAGTTGGGGGGAGGCCAAGGAAAAAAGAGCTGTATGTCAGGTGCTAGGACAAGCATGTCAGGCAGTAAGCAGGGTGCTGGTGGCGTCTTCTCAGAAGGCCCACCGCCTGGGAGGGGACTATCACCCCTGTGACTGCAGAGCCTAGAACCTAGGCTCAGGAGGTCAGTGTACTTAACCAGCATCCCAGAGCATGTGAGTAGGGATAAGAACAGCTAATATTTATAAACAGCCTTGGGCTCAGCGTCAAATTGTGAACTCTGGTCATCCTCACACAGTCCTGTGATGTTTCTGCAGAGGCTGTGTCACCTAGGAAGCAGCAATGCCAGGGTTCACACACCGACAGCCTGACCTCCATTGCTCTGAAAACCATCATCCTCCCCAGAAGAGTGTGGTCACAACAAGAGTGTTGTAGGCAGCAACACAGCCTAGTTAGGGCGTGAGGTTAGGCTGTGCTAGCATGGGAGGGCTCTACCACGGGACCCACAGGTAGCTGCCTGGCAGGGCTGTAGCTTCTGCATCACTCCAGGCCTCTTCCTACCATATCAGGCTGGCGGCCATTGCCCTGCTCGTCCTGGAGGAGGAGGAGAGTGCCTTCTGGTGCCTGGTGGCCATCGTGGAGAACATCATGCCAGCTGAGTACTACAGCAAGACTCTCATGGCATCTCAGGTGAGCCAGTTAATCTCAGGGTGGTAGGAATCTCTCGGGCCTCCGTTTCTCCTGTCTGATGGGTGTCACCCTTCTCTTACACCTCTAAGAGTGTCTGGCAAGCTGAGCCCTGTCAAATTGCTAGGGCCCTGCCCACAGCACACACTGACACTAATGTGGTAATCTCATGTCCTTGGCTTCCTGGGGAGGGGAGGAGGAAATCTAGGATCTTGCCAGTGAAGAATCCCTGGACATAGGTTAGAGGGATGGGAGACAGGGAGCACAGGAGGGAGGATGATGCTTCCTGCACACAGCAACACATCCACTGAAATGCGCGACCTCTGTCATCTCCCCCTCTTCTGGCCTCTGGCCTTAGAGTCAGGCAGAGCAGGGGCCAGAGCCTTGCCCCACCCCTGGCCAGCTGTGTGACCTGGGCACCTGATACATCTCTCAACCCCAAGCCAGGCTACTTTAGAGCAGAAATGGGGTTGCTACATAAGTGCAAAGTAATTTCAAACACGTCCTCTGGCTCCCAGCTCAGCCTGCCGTTCTTGCTGTGTCCGCACTGCTTAATTACCAAGAGAGGTCACTTACTTCTGCATCTCCAAGTCTATCCAGGAACTGTGTGCCCACCATCTTTTCCTCCACCCCCCACCTAATACCAGCTCCTGCTCCTGGAATACCCACTGCAGAGGTAGGGTCCTGACTGGGGAGGCTCAGGGTCACATGGAGGAGAAAGACTCAGGAGCCATCAGTGAGTAGATGGGGACAGCAAGAGGACCACATCTGGATGCATGGGAAGGAGGCCAACCTAGAAGTGGCTTCAGTGGGTGCTGTTCCATTTTGTTTTTGAGATAGGATTTCACCATGTAGTCCAGGCTGGTGTTGATCTCACTATGCAGTCCAGACTGACCTCAAACTCACCACAATCCTCCTGCCTCAGCCTCCTGAGTGCTGGACTTCAGCAAGCACTACCCCCACCTGGTGAGGGGGGCAGTATTTTTCTCACTGATGACACAGTGACATCGATGGCATCAGGAATCAGCCTCCTTTCAGCTCCCTACTCTGCCGTCCCTGATCTGGAGCTTTCAACCTTGTGTTCACAAGAGGGCTGTACCATCCTCTACCCTGTGCCCATGGCCTAAATGGAAAGAAGCAAAAAAGGCAGGAGCTGGCTTCCCATCCAGCAGATTCTTCTTAGCTTTATGGTCAAAATCACATCTTATGGCCATCCTCGTCTGCAGGGCAGGCCGGGCAATGTGCTATGTTTCCTCTCTGTATCTTAACATCTCTGAATTTTAGGTATGTTGTACTACCAGTGTCAAGGCTGCACTTTTTTTAATTATGGAGAACTTCCCACATTCAAAAACAGTAGAGAAAATAATAATGTACCGCCATGTGTCCATCGCCTAACTTTATCAACCATGGAGGCCAGTGCTGTCTCATCCATCTGCACCTACTCCACCTGATAGTCCTGGTCTGCATCTCAGACAGCACATCAGCTCATCCATGATCCTGCAGGAGGCCCAGTGACATCTTTCGGAGCTGGACGTGTAGTCCCCACTGCCATCCCAGGCTCTGCGTCAGAACAAGAGGGGAGCCACTGTGTGCTTGCCAGGGAGGACACCACAGTGTAGGACTTCAGTAGGGGAGAGCTGAGCAGCCATAGTCCAGGCAAGGAAACTACAATAGGGAACTGCAGAGTGGGAGGGAACCATAAAGATCAATACCTTGGAGCCAAGAAGAAGCCAGTGCTAGATGGGCTGCAAGTTTTTTGGCACCAGAGACTAGTTTCGTTGAAGACAGTTTTTCCATGAGCCAGGGATAGAGTATGGTTTTGGAATGATTCAGGGGCATTACGTGTATTATGTACTCTATTTCTATTGTTATTACATTATAATATATAATGAAATAATTACACAACTCACCATGAGCTTGTTTTCCTACAACTAAAATGTCCTGTCTGGAGGTGACAGGGGGCAGTAACACCTGAAGCAATGCTTATGTCCAGTCTACTCTGTGATATTGTTTTGGTTGCTGTCACTGCAGAAAATCCTGTTCCTCAAAGACAGGGAAAGAAGCAAATACCTTTTCTCAAAGGGGGTTGACATGAAATTGGAAGGGGGTGTAATGGAAGTTACAGGAGTGAGTAAAAAAGTTATTTATTCAGTGATAGTTTTGAAATTTAGCCTTGAAAAACGACAGATTCCAGACTGTCACAGAAGTCTGCCTTCAGGAATGTAGTTCCCTACCTTATCTATATCCACTAAAAGAAGATAGAACACACTTGTCGGTATCAGGCATTATTAAACAGGCACTACACCACTGCTATTTTCTTTTAAATGCAGCTTGATTTTTGTTTGTTTGTTTTGTTTTGCTTTTTCTCATTACTGGCTCTTTCCCTCTTTTCAAAGAAGCCCTCCAGTAACTTTTTCTGTTTGTCTAGGATCAGCTTATGGACTTACCAAAACTGTGACTGAGATAAGTATAGGAAAGGCACAGACAGGAGTAGTAAATCAAACAATGGGCAGGCCACATGTAGACTAAAATAAGTGTTAGAGTCTGACTTAAAGTCTGCCACCAGATGCAGCTGTACAACTGAGGTACACCATTCACTTGCCTCTCTTTAACACCTGCTACCAAGTGCATCTTAATTTTCACTTGCCAGTCACTGATAGGATTTTGCTATGTGTCTAAAAATATGACTTATTATAGTCTGTGCACAGTCAAACCTGTCTGCTAATATTGCTCTGTATTTGCAGCTGCTTCCCAGTGCTAGCATCACTGCCTCAGCTTCACTGAAGATCATGAGGCATTAGATCCTCATAATGATTGCACAACCTAGATCCCTCTCATGTGTAGTTCACAGTAGGGTTGTGCTCCTGTGAGAATCTAATGCCATTGCTGATGTGATGGGATGCAGCATTCCAGTAGTAAAGTGAGCTTGGGGAGTAGCTCTACATACAAATGAAGCTCTGCTCACACTTGCTGCTCTCCTCCTGCTGTATAGCCTGGCTCCTAACAGGCCACAGACTGGTATCAGTCTATGGCCCAGGGCTCAGAGGCCCCTGATGAACAGGTCTAGTGAAACAAGTATAGTGGCATGATGGTGGTCACCAGAAAGGTCACTAGCAGCCACAGGCCCACAACATCCTTTTTCAAGAAGATCCCTTTACATTAGTATGGCAGGACACACATTCCAGGAGCTTCCCCACCCATCTGCCAAGCATCTCAGGTCTCAGGGTACCAGCCAATAGAAACCTAGGGTAAAACCTCCTATGTCTCCAAACTGCCAGGAAGAGCACCTGGGCTTGAGGTTCAGGTGGACAAAGAAGCCAAGGTCTTGCCACCCACAGAGAGTTCTACTTCAGGCCCCACACAAAGGCACCAGGATGCACAGACTGACTGCATCTGAAGGGCAAGCAGGGAGGGAGGTGCCTTGACCTGGGCTGCAGGTGACTGGGCCTCTTGCTGCCTTCCAGGTGGACCAGAGGGTGCTCCAGGACCTCCTCTCGGAAAAACTGCCCCGGCTGATGGCCCACCTTGGGCAGCACCACGTGAACCTCTCCCTGATCACCTTCAACTGGTTCCTTGTGGTCTTTGCCGACAGTCTCATCAGTGACATCCTCCTGCGGGTCTGGGATGCATTCCTGCATGAAGGAACCAAGGTATGGTGCTGCTGGCCCGTCCCTTCACCACTCTGGGTCTTGGTCCTGCCCCGGGGGAGCAGGAAGATAGTGCTCACCTTGCAGGGCTGTTGGAGACAGCTGACAGCATGCTTTGTAAACTGTAAATGTTGCACACATATGAAAGGAAGTGGTTCCTTTGCCTCTGAAGATGGGCCCTATAATTGGGGATGTGGAATGTCACCCACTGCCCTTATTGCCCTGGCTCCTCCTTTTCTTCTCCTCTTAGGAGGGTGAGCTTGGGTCAAAGCCCCATGGAAAGACAAAGTTTTAACCCCACTGGGTCCAACGGAACCAATACTTTGCCTCTCTTCACCATGGGAGAAGTCCAGGCTTGAGCTGGGACTCAATCCAAACCCCATGATTTTAAGCTGTGCCCCTTTAGAGTCTTTGGCCCCCCTTCGTGTATAGTGCCTCTAGCCTCACTGGGCAGCCTGCCGCCTCTCCAAGGCATCCTGCCTGAGCCCCCACCTTACCCTTGCCCCTAGGTGGTGTTCCGCTATGCCCTGGCCATTTTCAAGTACAACGAGGAGGCGATCATGCAGCTGCAAGATGGCCTGGAGATCTATCAGTACCTGCGCTTCTTCACCAAGACCATCTGTGACAGCCGGTGAGGCCCCACCTTCTGGGGGTGGCCCAGTGGCCGGGACCTGGGAGGCCCCAGGAGAGACTGGTCCTCCATCGTGGCCTGGGAGTTAGGGGAGTCTGCCCCTCCATGATCCATCCACCCGCAGTGCAGCAGCTGATTGCTCCAGGCCTTTCAGTTTTCTGCCGCCATTCCCTGCTCTACTAGCCCTGGCCTGCAAACCTGACGCAAGACTGAGTTCCTAGAACAAGCCTACCTCTGGGCTTTCACCCTCACAATGTCTTTTGCTTACAAGGCCTCCTTGCCACCTCCTCCCAACATCACCATCTTTGCCTGACTGGTATTAGTCACTTTTCAAAACCCAGCTCCCATGTGACCTCCTCCAGGAAGCTTTCTCCGACCAGCCCATGCCCTGTGAGTTTCCCCCTACCCCGTCCTTAGCACATGCTTCTCTGGGTGGAAATGGTCTTCCCTGAGCACAGTCTCCAGGGACTAAGCTTAGCTTAGCCCCGCAGGTGGACAGCTGTCTGGGAAGGCCAGGAAACGCCGTCCTGCTAAGACCCTGTGTTCTGACTCACTGTGCCCTCTTCCAGGAAGCTGATGAACATCGCCTTCAACGACATGAACCCCTTCCCCATGAAACAGCTGCGGCAGCTGCGGGCAGCCCACCGGGAGCGACTGGAGGCTGAGCTTCGGGAGCTGGAGCTGCTCAAGGCCCAGTACTTGGAAAGAAAGGCTACCTTGGACCACACGAGGCCTGAGGGGGGCGCCAGTGAGGATGAAGGGGAGGGCGATGCCTGATCTGGACGCACCCTTCCCCAGAGCCTTTCTACCCCTGGAGCTTAGCGTGGACCAGGGCTCTAGACCCATCTCCACGTGAGCCTGGATAGGTCCTTTCCCTCCCTGGGCCTCAGTCTCCCCACAGGACACTACGGTGAAGCCATCGGTTGGGTTACCTCTCAGGGGCACTGACTCAGGGATGCCACCTGGCTCTCCCCCCACAAAGCCCTGTCTCTAAGTTATACCTGCATAAAGCAGTGTCAGCGTGAAAATCGCTCACCAGCTTTGGAACTTCCATGGCTCTTAGTTAGGAGCTGTTCCTGATGGAGCCAAGGTGTCAGGGTGTGCCACCCACCATTGGGGCTGTCGTCCTCAGGCCTCTGGCTCTCATTCCATGGGTGTCAGGCTCCTGACTGCCCTGGAGATGGCCCCAAGTCATCGGGGTCACAGCTGTCTTCCAGGTTGACTAGGTCTGCATGCAGACTGGCCCTGTGTACCAGGGCCTGTTTCCTGACCTTGGGCCACTAGCCCCATCTTGGGAAGTTCCCAGAGAAAACCCCTGCCCACCACTGCAAGGAGTGGAGACTGAACAAGGTGTCCCAGGCCACGTGCCCCCTTCTGCCCTGGCACTGGCTGGACAGCAGGTCAGCTCCTTCTGCAAAGCAGATGACTGGGAGAGACCACTGAACGTGGCAGGTGCTGCAGCCCACTCAGGGCCGAGCTCAGGGCTTTGTGACTGGGCCAGCGTCGGTTCTTCAGGGTCCTTCCAGGTCCTTGTCAGAAGACTCAGGCAGGGCTCATGGCTGCACCAGTGAATCTGAGAACTCATTCCTCTGGAGACATGGGGTGAGGTGAGCTAGGCCCTCCTGGGCTTGATGCATGGGGTGGGGTCTCCCATGGATTCCTTCTCTCTGGACCCTGGAACACTGCCCTCCATCCTCCTAGCCTTGATCTGAGACTTGAGGCAGATGTTTCTTCACCAGGGACCAGGTACCCACGGGCATGAACTTGAAGGGCGGTGCCCCCACACCTCATAGCCCTGGGAGGATGCTCAGAGCTCCTTCCCTTCCCACACACCCCTGCAGCCCTGGGGCTCCGGCACTAACCCGGAGGTTGGCCAGCCTCACAGGCACACAGCATGGCAAAAGATGATACTAGCCCAGCACAGAGTGACAAGTACCCAACAGTAGCAAGCTGCCTCCTAGGAAGGCCCTGGCAGTCCTTCTTACCCCAGCCAAAAATTCACATCCTTCTAGCAAAAGCAAATACCTGAGCCAGATGCGCTGGTGCACACCTGTAATCCTGGCTACTTGACCAGCTGAGGCAGGAAGAGCTGGAGTTCAAGGCCAGCCTCGGCAGTGCAGAGACTGCTTCTCAACAACCAGCTCTGGTCGTGGAGTGGGCACGGGGCCTGCTGGATATGGGCAGCCTCCTCCCGCTCCTCAGCATCCTCCTCCTTGTCCCTCACACCTCTTTCCCCTCCTTCCTACTGCTCCTCCATCCCTCTTCTTTTCTCTTTTCCCCATGGTCTCCCTCCTTTTTTCTCTTCCTCCCTCTTCCTCTTCTCCACTTCTCTGGTTCCCACCTGGCTATTCCTGAGAATCCCGAGTGGCTTGGAAAGTACTGGTGCTCAGCCTGTGCCCAAGGGCATTCTGGTGCTGGCAGACCCACAGGACAGGCTGCCTCCTCCCCTCCTGAAGCAGGGAGCTGGCAATGAGAACAGCCCATCCCGCACGCAGCACCTACCTGCACAGCAGCTCAGGCTAAGGTGACTGACAGGAGCCAGCACAGTGGCTGGCTAACCTGTGGGGAGTCACACAGCCAGGACTGGCGGAGCCAAGCCTAAGGGGAGAGGCCCCGAGCGCTCTGTGCCTTCTCGGGAACCTGGATACCTCCCAGGGGAAAGGGCTGGCCCACCGGCTGTGCCTTTTGTGGACTAGCTCTAGCAAAGGAAAATGGAGGAATAAAGACCTTCTGATTTGTTGCCTCAGGCTGGGATTGCAGCGCCACTCCCTTCCTCGAGATGAGTAAGGGGAGTGGGACACCACACTTCAGCAAGGATGTGGTGGGGACAGGGGCCCCAGCCCAGCTGCTGCCAGTCCCGGGGAGCCTGCCCACCCTCCCCTGCCCTTCCTGGAGAGTGTGGTGCACCATGGTGTCAGGTTGCTGCCCCACACCACAGCTGTCTCCCCTTCCCCAGGGGCTGCTGCCTTCCAGGCTGCAGGATCCAATCCCTTGCCCCCCCCTTCCTACTCCAGGGATGGGTCTTGTACCCCAAGGGTCCCTCCCCATACCCTAGACCCAGAAACTGGTTTACAGGGGAATTCAATAGGGAGGGCGAGAAGGGGCAATTGTCAGAATAAGGAAAGAAAGGGCCTGAAAGACTCTAGAAGATCCCCAGTTACCCCGGAGTGGGAGGTATGCACTGTCTCCACAGAGGCCCGTGTTCAAGGCATCCACCCCCGCCCACGGCCTCCTCCCATCCCATGCTGTCTGCTCCTTCCTAGCTCCCTCCCCATGGACACTGGACTCCACTGTACAGAGAGCTCCTGGTAGGGGAGAGACAAAGAACTACACACACCTGCCTGTGCTGGTCCCACACCAGCAGCTGACCCACTGGAGCCATCAAAGCTGGCCATGTTAAGGCTGATGCCTGGGAAGGAGAGGTCACTGGCACATGCTGGCAGGTGATCTGGCTTTGGAGCCAGACATGCTGTGTGGAGTTTTCACTGAGCCATGGTCAGGGTGGCCTTCCACATCTGGATCACCACGAGGGAGAGGGAAGGGCAATCCCTATGCATACATACACTTACTACAGCAACCCTGGGGGCGTGGGGGTGTTGGTGCCTCCTGGATCCGTATGCCTACAATCCCCAGAAGTCCTTGTCAAACCAGCTGTCCTCAAACAGCACAAGCTGGGAATATGTTCCTATAAGGAGGGGGCCACAGGGCCTGTGGGACCCCGGGCAGGCTTAGATGGGCAGATGGTGGTGTGGATGGAGTAGCAGAGGCTCTGGCCAAGCCCTGTATGGTTTGAGACATTCAGATGCGTTAGCCTAAGAAAGGTGCTGGCACCTCCCACCTGCCCCAAGTGTAACTCAAAAACAAAGTGCCACCAAAGGGAAGGGAATCTCCCACACTCCAGCTGTGTCCATACACTTTTGAAACTTCAAACTCCAACTCTTCCACGGTGGCACCCACTGTCTGCTTTCCTGTAATTCAGCTGGCTCAGTGCTCAAGCTGAAGGGAAGGCCCATGCTGGACACTGGGCTTGAAGGGACAGGCAAGGGGCCGCTTCAGCTCTGGACACAGGAATGGCCCGGTGAACTAAGTTCCAAGACTGAGTTGCAGGCTTTGGCCCTGGCAGTTCAAATGGAGGTAATGATAATTAGATAAAAGGGTACATAGAATCAAATGCAACATATGTAAAGTAGCCCACAGTATTTTTATTCACCCAACCACATATTGGGTGCCTACCATGTGCCAGGCACTGTTCTAGGCCCTCACAGATACACCACTGCACAAAACCCAAGGGTGGCAGGATGGCTATGAGCTCGCGTTTGGGAGTTGTCCTGCCTAGGACTGAATTACTCCTAGCTGGGTACTTAATTTCTCTGTGCCTTAATTTCCTTATATGTAAAATCGATGAGTAATAACATCAACCTGCCAGCATGTGCAACAGCGAAGCGAAGGCACACAAGGCTCAGAACTATGCCTGGCACGGCAGGTGCTGGGTGAAGGTAATAAAAGCCAAGGCCTCCGGTCCCCTTCCACCAAGCCGAGGCTCAGGGACCGGGCAGCAGCGCCCCCTCCTGGACGCCGCTTGGCGGCCTTTGAGGCTCGTTTCCTCCCGGGCCCCGGGGCCCCCGGGGCCCCCCAGCACAGCGGAGTGAGGCGCGCTTCCCTAGCCGGGCCTGCGCGCGCACGTCACCTGCCAGGGTCTTTGATCCAGTTCTCGAACTGCATGTGAGCCAGGCGCGGTTATCGCCTGCAATTCACCCGGAAAACCGAGGCTCCGGGAGGGCGAGTCCCTGGTCTAGTGCCACGCTGCAAGGTACGGCAGGGCGTGAGGCCGGGCAGGCCTCAAAGCCCCAGACTCTACTCTGCCCCCGACCTGCCCGCGCCCCGAAATCACGCGGCGTGCGCGCGCCGCTCCGTGCGCTCCGAGACCAGCCCCCGGGCCCGGAGCTTGGAGCGGGCGGAGGGACTGCCGGGCCCCGCGGGCGCGGAGGGGCGGAGCCTGGCCGAGACATCCCCGCCCTCGCCCCGCCACGCCCTCCGGCCCCGCCTGCCTGATTGGGGGGGAGGCGGCGGCTCTGGGCGCGGGGACTCGGCGGGCGGCGTGGAGCGCGGAGCTGGGACTGGACGCCGCCGCCACCTGCACGGCGGTCAGCAAGGTAGGGCGGCCGCGCCACCGCAGCGCCTTCGCGGGTTGTGAGATGGGCGTCAGGCGGGACGCGCGCGCTGCGCCTCCCGACTGCGGTTCCAGGAGAGGGAGGGATGCTGGTTCCGTGCGCCGCGGGCACCCGGCGGGCGCGGGGATCTGGCTTCCAGGCGCTCCGCGTGACCTTGCACAAAGCCCTGCGCCTCTCTGGGCCTCAGTTTCCCCTTCGGGATAGCGGGTGCATGCCGCCCCCTGTAGCACGTTGCTGGGAGTAGCTGCTGCAAGGTGCCGGCCCTGGACGCTCGGGCCCCGGATGGGCACTGTGTGCACGCCCGCGTACCCCCCGCGCGGATCCCGCAGATGAGGCGGCTCGCCCTGGGTGCGGCCACCAGGCCCCGTCGGGGCCACTGGTATGGCCCGGGTGTCCATGTCACGACCCTCCCTCTCTTGGCTACAAGACCATTTGGACCTGATCTATACGGGGAAACCGTGTAGAGTGGGGGGTTCCCATGGTCCCTGACATCCCACCTAGAGTAGGTGTCAGGCAGACTACCCTCCCAGAGCAGCCTTATCAGAGAAGCCCTGGGATGAAGGTAGCCAGACTTGGCCTGTACCAGATTCACCTGCATTTGGGAATTGTATAGAACGGCCACACTGAGGCCCTAGCCAGCTGCTGGAGCCCAGTTTTGTGTCCCAACTGGTGGGAAGTACTGACTCGGCCCCACCTGCACTTGGTGTCTGCTGGGGCGGTGTGCAGCGAAGCTACCCCCAGACCCTAGTTCCAGGCCCTTTGGGTACAGAGGACCACGGGCATGTGGCCCAGCCCCTCTGTAACATCCCTTCTGGAAGGTCTCGCGGCCCTCTTTATGATGGGGATCTCACTCATTGCACCAAACCTGGATCTGCTTCCAAGCCACTGCCCTGCCAGCTGGTCCTGCTGAGACACCGTGAACGCTCCTTCCCCATCCAGGGGCAGTGGTCAGGTCCTCAGGGTGAACAGCCCAAGCAGAAAGCAAAGGCAAGAAGAGGGACCTGAGCTCTCTGCCCCAGAGCCAGTGGTTCTGAACATGGTCCCGGCCCATTCACCCACCTGTGGTCAGAACTAGACTCTTCTCTGAGCTTCCCGCACCTCTGGAGCTCCTCTGGAGCTCTGAAATGAGAGGAGGGGCCAACCCCCGCTGCAGGGCCCCCTGCCCTTCTCCTCTTCCCCTCTCTGACACCTGCCCCACTGAGGGACAGTTTCTAGCAATCATCCCTGAGCAATCATCCAGTCTCATGTCTCCCACACGGGCTTCCCCTCATCCAGGGGATTTCTTACAGCCAAAGAAGGGACAGATAGTACTGTCACGTCAGGTGGCTGAGCAGAGGCTGAGTGAGGAGGGCTGGGATCCCAGGACTGAAGTAAGCACGGTACCATGACTTTGCCCTGCGGAGCTGCAAGGCCTTGGTGCTGCACCTCAAATGAGTGTTATTATGCTCTTGTAAAAGCAGGCTAAGTATAGTGCTGTCACCTGAGCCTAGCTCCGAAGCATAGCCTAAATGCTACCAATCCCTGGCATCACCACACATAGGCTGAGCCCCACGTTCCTGCTCAGCTGGTTCAAGCCATTTTGGCCTGATTTGGAAGCATGGAAGATTCTGCTTATTATAAAGCTATCATATGCAAATGCTTTTCAAATGTTTCATGGAATTATTGGCTGTCTGATCTGTAAAGGGTCTTGAATCAGCTTCCCCGGCTCCTTCATTTTACAGATAGGCATCCCCTCTCCCCAGAGGGAATGTGACTGGCCACAGGTCACACAGCAGGCCAATCCAGGGATCCTAATTGTAAGCCTAGAGTGGTTTTTATTTTTTAAATACATTAATATAGTAATGAGGAAGCAGTATTTATTTTATAAAATCAGCAAAAAATAAACACAAAAGGTTAAAACCTTGTGCTGGCAAAGCTATAGGGATCCACCTGTGGATCCCACCTAGGGATTTTGCAGGGTTATGTAGCAACCTGTTGCAAAAGTCCATAAAAATGATCCATACTGCCCTTTACTCCTTACCTTCTACTCTGGGGACTTTACCCTATGGAAATAACCAGGGAGAAAGAGAGACAGAGATAGATGTAGTGCTATTGCCTAAAAGGAATTTTTTTTTTTATAGTGAAGACACTCCCAGTGTGTTGGTTAAAGCATTCGAAACGTTTCATTTGAAAAATGCAGCCCCAAAAGTAGGCTTACAGTACTGGAGTCTGCCCAGTGTAGAAGCTTTGTAATCTAGAAGCAAGGCCATGGAAGTGAAGTCAAAAGATCTAGGTTTCCGGACGGACTCCACCTTGGACCCAGTGTGTGCTGTTGGGTCAGTTTGCTCTCCTTTCTGGAGCTTACTTTCCCCCATCTGTGAAATGGACACAGGGTTAGCGGTAGCTGAATTCATTCTACCACTGGCAACCTATGGACTAGATTTAGCAAATCTCCGTGGCTGGTTCTTTTATAGGGCAGAGCCAGAAGCACTGTAACAATGAAAGCCTGTCCCGGCCTCCCTGCCCCTAAATAAATTCCCTTAAAGCAGGATCCCCCTCTCCCCAAGGGGTTTCAGCCTTAAGCTTATGCTATTTTCAAATGGCCGGACCTGGACTGTTTCATAGCTTGGTGAGTTTTATCCTTGCTGCCAAAGCTCCAGAGCGCCCCAAATAATGCAGCAGGGCCTGTTGTTTCCGGTCTGCAGCCGGAGCCTGGTTCCCCTCACACAGGTAAGAGGCGCTTAGCAATCACACCCCATCTGAAGGGCCAGATGACCCCCACTCAGGATATTTTTTGAATATCCCCGTACCAAGCCCTGAGGTGCCCCCTGCGGGCCTGCGTAGTGCCGTGGGATGTTTTAGGTAAAACTATGTGAAATGGCCAATATCCGAAAATTTTTTTAACTTGATGAAAAATAGCAATTTTCATTTGGTGCAGCCAAAGTGGAAAAATATATAATTAAAAGACATAATTACGGTTTCTTGGTATAATTGAGCCATGGGCAGGGTGCGGTGGGGACTAGGAAGGTGTGATTATGAGCTGGAGGAGACCAGGAGGAGGGGCGTGGGCCCCTGCCTTGAAGAATCAGTAATGACGACCATGCGTGCTCCTGTCTTAGGGGCTTACACATTCATCCATAGCTGGTAGTCTGCCCAACATTTACCAGGCTCTGCTGCTGTGCGTGCAGTCAGGTCTGAGGATAAGCAGGGCAGAGTCTGCCCCGAAGGACCTGGCAATCAGGGAGAAAAGGCAGACAGCTCACCACAAGGAAGTTGACATGGAGCAGATAGAATGGAAGAGGCTGTAGGAAAAATGGGAAGAGGGTTTGCAGTTTTAGTCAGGGTGCCCTGGGGGCTCATTGCAAAGGTGACTCCTGGGAGGTGTGATTGGGCTGATTTCTGAGGGGAGAGCCATTGTGAAGGCCCTGAGGAGGCCCAGGCTGGCTTGCTGAAGACACAGCAGTGGGGACACAGAGAGGATGAAGAGGAGTGGAGGAGGTCAGGGTACATGGCCACATGGAGTGTCGCTGTGATTCCTCTGAAGTTGCTGTGGTCTGCTTGTCTGGTCGCCTCACACTCATTTGTGGAAAGCCTGGCCCCAAGAGTTGGAGTCTTCGGGAGGTGACTGGATCCCAAAGGTGGTGCTCTCCTGGTGGGATGAGTGCCTGAGAAACCCTCCCCACTTCCACTGTGTGAGAACATGGGGAGAAGGCGCCCTGCTGTGGGCCAGGAAGCAGGTCCTCATTGGACCCCAGATCTGCCTCTAGAGCGGTAGAATATTTCTGTTGTTGTGAGCTGTGTGGTCTGTGGCATTTGGTTGTAGCAGTCCGCATGGGGTGGGACGGGACCCAGAGAGCCAGCTGTGGGAGCAGTCCGGGTCTGGGGGTGAGGGTGGCCTCGAGTGGTGAATGAGGGGTCAAAGGATCCACTGAGCTTGGAACTAGGGTCATGTTGGGGTCCGAGTCAGCAGGAAGAGGAGGAGGCCAGGTTGGCTCTGGGCTCATGGACTTTAACTCGAATTAGAGCTTCTTTCTCTCTGAGAAGTCAAGCTTTTACATACATTAACCTCATGACCTTAAGACCTAGAGGGCAGGTAGTATTATTCGTTTTTACATACATTAACCTCATGACCTTAAGACCTAGAGGGCAGGTAGTATTATTCGTCCCTCTTTTAAACAGATTTTTATGCCGCGCGTAAATTGTATCTCAGTAAAGTTTACTTACAAGGAAAAGGTACTTTTTTTTTTTTTCTGTTACTAATACTTGATGATAGGAGAGAATTTCAGAAGCAATAAAACAGAAAATAAATTTCCTGTCTGCTCTTGTCCTTATCCCAGATAATCCATATATTAACACTTCAGTGTGTTTACTTTCATAGCCCCATTTTACAGATGAGGATGCTGAAGCCCAGGAAAGCTGGGCAGCTGGCCCTGGGACATACCTTAGCACTTCTGGTATCTATTTGCAGTGTCCAGGGTCTCAGTTCCTCTAGGCAAACCTTGGAATGTTACTGGTAGTGGGTTCCATCAGCTCTGGCTCCTACCCACTACGCCTCCAGCATCATCACACCGTAGTTGAAATGAGGCCATGGGGAGAGCTCAGGAACAGCCACGACAGGCCTCGCTCCAGGACAAAGGAATTGGAGTGCACACAGGGTCAGTGTGACAGCTGCTTCCAGCTTGCCCCCGGCCTGGAGTTTGCAAGGGGCCGGAATCACCTTACTCAGGAGTACGGGAGACTACAGGGCAACCTGGGCCCAAGTGTCCTGTCCCTCAGCCAGCCCTGATGGGAGGGGCAGGGTGACAGGGGAAGCTGGCGCTTTGCCCAGCTTTGGGCCCCTAGGAGTCACTGCCTGCGCTCTGACTGTGCATTTCTTCTCTGGCTCTGGTGTGGCACATTCCCCAGTACCACTGCTGCCAGGGATACAGCCCTGGCTTCCAGCCCCGCTCAGCTGCAGGGTGGTCTTGGGCCAGGGTCTGTGGCCCTCTACCTGGAAACTGGCA